TAAGCTCCAAAAAACGAAACATACCCTCGTACATTACAATAAATTAGCAGCAGTGTATGATGAATTTAATAATCTCAATATTCAATATAAGCATTTAAGATTATGTTACATTCAAAATATTACTTATGCTAAACACTTAGATAATTACGATAAGATATTTTAGATTTTTTTATACTCCAACTACCACGAAGGCCTAAGGCCTAAACATCCATTGGTACCGTGGGTCTATAGGGGGATACAGGGGAAAGGGGGAACGCCACACGGACTCTGGCGAGGGAACACGTGTGCATGCAATATGCACATATTCTGGCTCCGCCTACGAGATCCGCCGGGTGGTACCTCCGCGTTCGACAGTCAGAGACCGTCTACCATCTACGGACAATCACAACATCCATAGCCAAGAGAAAACTCCTGGGACGGGATTCGAACCCGCACAGCGCACGGCGACTCATCAGGAGACCAAAGAGTCTACTACTGTGGCCACCGCTGATGCCTAAGATAGATAATATTAAAATTCATAGTGTCTATAATAATAGAACTAGAAGAGTATTGGTAGATGGTTTAGGTAGCATAGTTAAGTATATTACCGGTAATCTTGATGCTAATGATGGCGATCAAATTTTTAAGATACTGAATCACATCCAGGCAATGAAGATAACATTTAAATTAATTAAAACATGTGCTACATAACAAGACATTTTTTTGCAAAGACATCTTTCAACAGCTATTCATTTTACATGGTTCTATACTTAATACATTACAAGATATCGAAAATTCTGTCACTTTTTCTAAAATGGGTACCATCCATCCTAGTATAATCAGACCTTCAGATCTTTATATTGAACTCAACAAAATCTCAAACTATTATAAGAATAATCTTCCATTTAAAACAAATATTGAATCGATAATAAAAGAACACTGTAAAATTGAGGCAACTCAAAATGTATATTTTCTGTCAGTGCCAATTGATTTCGAAGACAACTTTGACTTATATTATTTGCACCCTATGCCTACTGTAGTTGGGTAACAATTACTCTCAATTTTTCCAAATTTGAAATATCTTTAAAAATCAAAATCTGATGATTTAATCAGACCACTAAGCGGCATGTGCATAAAAACCAAAATATACCACTGCCCACGGCAATTCCAAGTCAACGCAAACGTCACTTGCGAATCAAGTATTCTGAAGAACAATGATGTAAAAAGCTGTTCTCTCTCAAAAGTATAAATTAACGAAAATTACGTTGATATCATCCCAGAAATCAACACATATAGTATGTCGCTGTTTTCCCAGAACGTGAAAAAATTGAAGTCAGATGCAGTAGCCAAGCAGAACACAACTTTATTATTCCCAGTGCGTGGACAATCCTCCTGTACTTAGCAGCCCCCATTCTCATCCTGCTGCTTGCATTTCAAAAATTCAAGAAAATCATGAAGTCAAGAAGCGAGAGCTCCAATCATGCCACCGAAGTTTCATCGAGAGAAGAAGACATTCAAGTTGGAACAAGAATCCCGAATCTTCCAGAGGAAGCTTCCTTCTAGGAGCGGAGGAGTTACCTAGTCACCTAGCCTAGCAACCAGTACATCGACCGACCAATTCAGCAGATTCAGCACATTCCACATTGTTTACGATCTATAACTATTGCCACATTTGATTTTTACATTGTTAATGAAATTATTTTCAAGTCAGTCTTGATCCAGCCATTGTACCGATCACTTGTACCAAATAAATTGATTTTAAAAGGACAAATCGGCATTAAGAAACATAATTTATATATAAATATACGTTATATATATATATATATATATATATTATATCATTTAAATTCAACTTTACTTTTAAAAAATTTTATTAGAGGACAGTAGCTACTGTCCGTTACAAATTAGAAGCGTTTACAATTACTTGACTTGACAGAGAATTGGACACGAAGTTTACAAAAGTGACTGTTACGGTCTCTAGCCGGGTGTTGACCCACATGAAATGGGCGCAAGGCCTATTTATACTATTGGTGTGCTTACAAAGCACTTCTAGAAAACAAAGCATAAGCAACGAGTTAGCGAGAAGTCGTTATCTGTTGCTGAGCTAGCGTCTGATGCAACATTGTATGGAATAGTAAGTCCATTGTTATGAGTGCATATAACAACTTCGCCATATTACAAAAAGTTGTTGCCATGCTACAACTTTTGACAAAATTAGAAAAATGTAAAAGATGTAAAAATTCAAAAATGTAAAAGTGTAGACATGTAAAATTGTAAACATTGTAAAATATAAAAATATAAAAGTAGGGAAAATAAAATTGCAAAATAAAATCAGAAAATATAGATTCTGAAAAATAAAATTGTTAGCATAAAAAAAACGTTAAAAGCAATGCGTACAAATATGTCATTAAAAATGGAAAGGAAAATTTATTTTTCACAATTGGAACTTTTCACTCACTGAACACTACTGTAGTTCAATTTCTTCTTCATGGGGTTGGATGGTTGGTCTTCGACGTGGAAAGAGCCTGGGGATGTATCTGACTTTCGACGTTCCTGGTGACGGTCCATCAGTTGGGTAATTTGGTGCACAAATACTGAGTGGTCGGCGTTTTCTGCACTTGCAGAAGATATAGAGGGCTAAGATGACGGCTAGCAGGGTTATGACGACGTACGTAAACCAGGAGATATGTCGTGAAACAAAAGGCTCATTAATAAGTTTATCAAGTTGTTCAGAATACTGTTTCAACTTGTGGTTGGCGATTTCTAGCTCTTCTGTATCGATCTTGGTTAGCTTGATCGGTTTCAGGTTCGGCAAATTTTGTTTATCAGGGAGATGATTGCAGCATTCGTAGGGTATCTCTACAGGGTGGCTTTTATAAGTGATATTCTTATAAGTGTTAACAGAATATCTGGCTTGAAGCCTTGTAGTACCTATGAATCCACGGCATTCTGGCTGCATTTTCAAAAGTATATTAGCCTTGATGACCTTTGTAGTTGTCTCACGTTGTCCGGATTTCATTGTGATGGGCAGCGGGCTAGATATGGTAATCGAGACGTACAAAAGAGAATCGCTATCTTTGGCAACGTATCTCTGTAAGGTAGAAATTACATAAAATAGACCTGTACGTTCATCTAAAATGGGTGGGTATAAAGTGTAAACTTGAGGTTCTAACAATGGGATGCGTAGGAGGAAAACTACTTTTGTTTTTGTTTGAAATGATTCAAGTTCCATTAAATTGAGATATTCCGATAGTGTTGACAAATTGACTGGCATAGGTAAATTGTTTTTTGATAAGGAATGAGAGATTTCTTGAAGAGAATTTACTAAATCATGAGGAGTAATTATCGAAGGATGAATAATAGAAACATATAACTTTCCATTAGTTGTTCGCAAAGTTCCAAAAATTGAAATCTAGCTTCATAAAAGGCAAGATCATCTGAAATTTCATAAATTCTATTTTTAATAACCTTTATGTCTTCGTTAAAAGTAGCTTCGTCAATTTGCAGTTTCTGTAGAGTATTATTGAAGTTCTTAATAACCGACATGATTACTGAGATCTGATTTTTCATAAGGTTTTCAAGCTCATGTTCCTCTTTAGAAATTGTGTTAATGCAGTCGTTATAATATTCAACATCAGATGAATCGAGGTTACCTGTTATTGCTTTCCAAATTGTATCTATGGCATTAATTAGGCCGCGTTTCATGCGCGATGCGCTAGTTGTATCGTTGAAAATTTCGTAATATTTGGTTTTCAAGGAACGGAAAATTTGATAGAGAAGGCTCGTATGTGTCTTAGTTTCGCTTCTAAATACTTTCATGCGATTAGTAGATTTATTTACGAGAGAGGTTAAGTGTTCCAGCATATTATTGTTATCGTCGAGCGCGTTTTTGGTCAGTTCAAGATCTTTGTAAACGAGTAATGTCCAAACTTCGTTAGAAATTTTGAGAGGGCCATCTTCTTGGAAGTAGATACCTAATGTGTTGTTAATGGGTTTGATGTCAAGCTGGGCCGTACAAACAGCAGACTGCACCAGGAAGAAAAACTAAGTCTCAAAACATGGTTTCAGTTTGTCGAAATTGACTTTAGTTGTTTTGTTTGTTTCCGGATTTTTGAGTAATGCTGAATTTTCAAATACTTGAATGACCTCATAAGGTCCATCTAATTTATTTTGAAGCTTATTGGAAATTTGGGATTGTTTGACAAAGACTTTGTCACCAATTCAGGGGTTCAAATTCTAATTTGGGCAGAATCACATTTTTAGGAATGGCATTACAGTTCAAGACTGTAGTGAGAAATTCGCCGTTAGAATTGATTTTAACGATGGAGCTGGGTAGACCGACTTTTTCTACCTCGCACGCCAGAAGGATGGCTTCGGTATTTTTAAGCTCTGATTTAAGCTTGATAACCTGTTCAACTCTAGGAGGGACTGGGATGATATTTTGAACTTCTCTTTGAAATTAGAAGTTTGGGGATTTCCTTTGAAATCAGAAGTTTGGGTATTTTATTCATCACCTACTTTGAAAAGAGGGATGGTTTTGAATTCTGTGATTAATTGACGATTTTTCAAATCGATAATGCAATCGTAGTGCTCGAGGGAATCTGAACCAAGAAGGCCATCGAAAGCAATAGATTAATCGTGAATATAAATTTTGTGGTAGTCGTTGGGAGCAAAGGGAACTAAAACTGCTTCCGAGTTAAAAATATTACACGTTTTTAACTTGTCCGGCTGTATTGATATAATTTTTATTTTTTCTTAACTTTTAACGAAGGTATCTGTCGTTTTTAAACAAGCCCAATGTCCCCGTCCTTTTGTTTTTATACTGAACAGAAGTTCGGTCTCCTCTACGTTCTTTCTGAAACACCTTGTGGCTGCAACCTCACCGACGAGTAAGTTGTCTGACATTTTAAATCTGTCCTGTTTTCTTTGCTAGCATCACAATTGTGTTTTCAGAATCCTGATGATGGCTCCATAGAGAATGCCGAAAGCTTGATTTTATCGTCAAAAGAGTCAACTTAAGCCTAAAAGTTTTGCCAATTTCTTCAATAACTTATCCAAAGCTGCGTTTCTCTTTTCTCTGAAACAAATAATAATATTGAATATCTATTTTTCTCAAAAAAATCGCCGGGTCCCATCTCGACGGCAAACAATCTAACATTGAACTACAACATAACCATAGACACATATGTACCTATTATGATATTCTTTACTTTTCACTTTCCATAAACACGGTTCACTTTGATATATAGAGGTAAACTCTAGGAGCATTTCGCGATACCGGGCTGTATTTTGCGACATGACGTCTACCACCGACAAAAATCTTGACTCTACTGAACTCACAGTTCACGTACACCTACCGCCATACACGCTCCAATCAGCATGATCCAATCAAAACTTGGTGTTTTGTAATACCCCTTCATCAGAAACTCTTCCATTTGTCCCAAAATCTGCCATTATAAATCAGTATCTTGCGTCAACAATTGCCATGAGAACCATGCTGTGTCGTCCTTTGTAGTTGTAGTAATAAGAACCGCTGTCAGCAGGTGGGATTATATCAATGTGTTTCCCATCTATTGCTCCCAGGCAATGAGGGAAATTCCACCTTTCTTCAAAGAGGTTTGCAAGTTCTTTCCATTTAGCGGAAGTATCGGGAAACTGCAAAAGACAAATTTAATTAAAAATACCTGTACTGGATATATCCTCTTTCAAGTCTCAACGGCTGAACAGATTTGAATGAAACTTGGTAAGTATGATATGAATAGATGAAGTACTGGATACTTCTTATCACGGTGGCCGCGGGAATCAGCTAGTTTCTAAATACTCTTACCGGTATGTAATCCTTTTTGAGAACTTTGAAAATAGCATTACAGGTTTGTGGTATAATTCGCCCTAAAGATTGAGGCGATATTATTGCCGAAAATTTTAGGCATTCATATGTTCTCGCTGTTACTAGAAATCGTGAAGACACTGTTAGCCTCTCGTGTGCAGATATAGGGTTTCTCATGACAGTGTTTTGCTTCTCAATTAGCGGAGTCACTAACGATAGAAGTTTCATGTAAGTTTCTTCATTCATTCGTAAATAATTTCGATGATCTTTTGGCGTAATCCTCAATTCTTTTAATAAATTTGTATGAGTAAACTGTTTTCTTTTCATTAACCACTGTTTGCATCACACAGCTCGATCTTTTCTTTTTTTTTTGTTTCTTTACTACGAGTAAAATGCCCAAAACTGCTGAAACATCGTCGTCTGTCACTGGTGACGCCATCGCTTCAACTGAACATCGCTACCAATTGGACAGTTCAAAATAATCGTGTGTGGTGTATATGGACGAACTGTAAATTGGATCAAGTCTGCAGCGTCATGCCGATCGGACGATAGGAAGGATGGTGTATGGCTAGCTTAAGGTTCTGGTAAATCGCCCTGTATAAGGCACTGATAGCAGTTGTCCCGTAATTTCGATCCTGAAAGTTTTTGAGACGAAAATCGAGATAACCGAGGTATTTACTATGGAAACTGACCCAGGGGGGTCAGAAAATGGTGCTTCCACCATGGCAATGGCGATGGAGTCGAAGGAGCAGGCCGTAGAGGAGTTGAGAGCTGAATTGGAGATGGTTCGACATTAGCTGTCAAAAAAGGACCATGATAAGAAGACCAATGAAACATTGATGATCATCGAAACCCAGCAGCGGACAATTACCGACCTAACAGTTAAATTAGACCTCCTACTGAAAACCCAGGTACCTTCCCATCTAAATATTACACATTCTTCCCAAACACTCCAACAAAATCCCAGTATAGACAAAGCTATCAATCTTAAGACGAGTACGCCACTGAGAGTGATAAGCAATATGAAACTGGGCTCCGAAATTAAATTCGTATTACGGGCAGTTTCGAGTCATTTTATTTATTGAAAAGTAGTGTCAAGCGTGAATTAGTTAAACTGAGACACTTTGAAATAAACAAAAAGCGAAGATCTGCGGGGTAAGTGTCATTTGCACTTGAAATAAGAAATCTCGAATCGCCAACAGCTGATCGGTACCATCTTTCCTCCGAGGGGTCGACCCGGGAAATCGGTACCTGCGGCGCCTTGCGTGGATCAGCGTAGACAGCCATATATACACAATAGAAGACTAAAAGCATAGGCGGAGATAATAGAGTGTAGATGTCGGCATTCCGTATCAGCTCTAGACAGAGTGAAGGTAGCGCAACTGAAGAGTCAACAGACGAGGGAAGCAAAAGAAAGAGGATTGAAGAGCAAGAGACAGAAGCCTTTAAAAAAAGTAAAAAGATAATAAGAACCCCGACAAAAGATGGAAATAAAAGAGTTACTAACAAGGAGATGGAAGAAATTAAGGACATGATGAAAAGTCTTATGGAGGAGTTTAGAGGGTTTCGGGAGGAAAATCGTGAGGAAATGAGGTTACTTAAAGAACAAAATACAATTCTTAAACAAAGAAACGAAGACATGATGCAGGAAATCAGTATGCTTAAACAGAGGGTTGAGCAGTTGGAAGAAGTAGAACAAAGGATAGAGCACCTAGAGAAAGGTAGAAGAAAAAATAATATAGTGATCTCGGGTTTAAACCTAGGGACAGGAGGTAACGAGGATTTAAAGCAATCAGTAGAAAACTTTCTGAAAACCAGACTGTCTCCAGAGGCAGATATTCAGTCCGCCCAAAAAATAAAAGAGAACCTCTATATTGCGGAGTTGAAGAGTTTTGATGCTAAAATGAAGATCATGAAAGCCAAAGGTAAGGTGCAATTTTTGAAAACGCAAAAAATCTACATAAACAGTGATTTGACAAAAAGTGAGATGATGATTCAAAAGCATATAAGAGACAGAGCTAAAACGGAGAGAGCAAAAGGAAATACAGTCAAGATAGGTTATATGAACTTGCTGATCAGTGGAGAAAAATGGAGATGGGATAAAAAAGACCAGGTGTTGAAACCAGACACATTGATCCAAAAAAACTAGTTACGTTTAGAGAAAAGGATATCTTGGAGACGACAGAAAATGTGGCTATGACAATGGAACAGGTAGGGAACAGGAATAAAAATAACGAAAGAAATAAGACGTTAAGTACGTATGAATTTAAAGAAGAGCAAATAAGAATTGCAACTTGGAATGTCAGAAGTATCTACGAAGCAGGTGCACTGAAAAACTTAGTCAACATAGTGAACGTATATAAAGTACACGTTCTAGCTCTTCAAGAAACGAAACTTAAAGAAACAGGAATATCCCAGTGCGAAAATTTCATATTTTGTAATAGCGGTGGTGCAAATTGACTTTTTGGGACAGGATTTCTAATAAATGCAATGCTAAAAGACACGATAGTAGAATTTAAACCTATATCGGAAAGATTGTGTTATCTACGCCTGAGAGGAAAGTACAGGAAAGTAACAATGATCAATGTACATGCCCCAAGTGAAGACAAGGATATGGATATCAAAACAGACTTTTATCAACAGTTAGATGACGTGATAAATAGTCTACCAAAATACGATATCAAAATAATATTAGGAGACTGCAATGCAAAAGTTGGGCGTGAAGACACTTATCGAAACGTTACAGGAGGGAAAAGCAAACATGAACTCTCAAATGAAAATGGCAAACTCCTGATTAACTTTGCAATTGAACAAAATTTCAAGATAATGAGCACTTATTTTGACAGGAAAGATATCCACAAGACAACATGGATCTCACCAGGTGGTAATACTGCGAATCAAATTGACCACGTACTGATCGAAAACAAGCATGCCTGCAATATCCACAATGTTAGAAGTTACCGGGGTGCAGATAGTGATACGGATCACTTCATGGTAGTAGCTGTTATAAAACAAGAAATCCCGAAGAAACAGTTAGAGAGACAGAAGACAATCAAAAGGTACGAAACAAAAGCGCTAGAAGATACGTCAGTTAGACACCAACTTGAACAAGCAATAGCGACAGGACTGCAAAACACACCAGTTGTGCAGGATATTAATCAGGAATGGAATCATATCCAAGCAATAATCACTAATGTAGCAGAACAGATGATGAGAAAAACGAGTACTAGAAAAAACAAAGAGTGGTTCGATGATGACTGTAAACGGGAATTGGAACAAAGACAGAAAGCAAAAATACAAATGGATGTATCTAGAACAACAGAGTCAAGGAAAAGATATGAGCAAGCCAAACGAAAAGTGAAAGAGATGTGTAGAAAGAAAAAGCGTGAATACTGGGAAATGGGCTTGAAAATGATAGAAAATCACATGATCAACAAAAACATTAAGAACTTTTATCAGGATGTAAGAAGAAGCAAATTGGGTAGTCAAAGGTCTTCTTGCTTCTATAAAGACAAAGATGGGTCGTTAATTGGTGACATTCCAGGAAAATTAGAAAGGTGGGCCAAACATTTTGAGGAACTGTTAAAGCTATCAGACGAAGAGGAAAGGAACACGGAAGCAGCACCACTAATCGAAGATGACAATCAGGGACAAATACACGAACCAACGGATCTGGAAATAGAGGAAACAATAGGAAGATTAAAATACAATAAAAGTCCAGGAGAAAATGGAATCACAGCAGAAATAATAAAAGCGGGTGGACAAGATTTACACAAGCGACTTGGAAGTCTGATCAGATATATATGGAGTCAAGAGGAACGAGGAACTACCAGATGAATGGAAAAACGCCGTAATCTGCCCAATACACAAAAAAGGTGATAAAAGTTCATGTGAAAACTATAGAGGCATTGCCCTGTTAGACACTGCATATAAGATACTAGCATTTCAACTAAGGGACAGATTGAGCATATATGAAAATGAGGTTATAGGTGAATATCAAGGAGGTTTTAGAAGGGGCAGGTCCACAATAGACCAAATATTTACAATGAAACAGCTGTTCTATAATAGCTATGAACAAAATCTTGGTTTACATGCATTATTTATTGATTTCAAGCAAGCGTATGATTCCATTGACAGAGAAAAATTATATGAAGCTATGAGACTGCTGGGATTACCAAGTAAACTGATAAGGTTAGTCAAAATGACAATGGACGGGACAATGAACAAAGTCACATTGGAAGGGAAAACATCTAGAGCTTTTGGCGTAACGAGAGGCCAGAGACAAGGGGACCCGCTATCTACAACATTGTTTAACTCTACGCTGGAAGCTATTTTACGTAATTGTGGTATACAAACCGACGGAGTTGTTTACTATAGAAAACATCAGTTGATTGCTTATGCCGATGATATAGCAATAATAACCAGATCCAAAGCAGAACTTGAGAAGACGTTTAGAAGGTTAGAAGAAACTGCCAAACGTTTTGGGCTTCATATAAATGAAGACAAAACAAAATACCTTGAAATGAGAGGAAGCAATGAAGGACAGTTAACAATAAGAAGTAGTTGCAGAGAATACTGTTCCGAGAAGGTGAATTAATTTGAATACCTAGGGGTCACAATAACAGATAAAGCAGAAGAAGATTTAGAAATTGAAAAAAGAATAGCAAAAGGGAGTAAAGCAATGGGGGCTTTAAGCAAGATGATAAACTCGAGGTGGATATCAAGGAAAACAAAGGAAAGGATATATAAATCAGTTATCCAACCATCAGTACTTTACGGCGATGAAGCTTGGGTGTTAAGCCAGAAAAACGTACAGAAATTGGAACGC